GAAAGAGTGACCTCATTTCCTCTGGAAAAGCTTTCCTCACCAACCCAGCCCTCAATGTGTGCTCCTTTTTCTAAACTCCCACAATAGTCGTGTTTTACATTTACTTCTTGTTGTAAACAAAATGTTTTCAAATTCAAATAATAAAGTGAGGCTCCTGTCCAAAAACTAAAGTACTAAGTGCTGGAAGGTGGGTCTGATTTGCCTTTTCCCCTGTACCATGCTCTTGTGAAGCATGGCAGGAGCCCCATCTGGGCCACTGACTTCGGAGTTTTGGTCTCAGATTGAGCCATTGCAATTTTAGACAAACAGGCCTGATTGATCACAGGCTGGGGGATCTGTTTCAGTATCAGCTGGTAATACTGGGAAGCTCTGCTACTGCAGAAAGCAGCAGCATTGGCAGGAAGAGGGCTGATGTTTATGGCAAGTTCATTTACAGCCCGTCTTTATGTCTGAATTAGAACAGTTCACATCAAAAATACATTCGTTTTAGAAATTCCTGATTATCAAAACAACCAAAGAGGGAGCTGATATGGTGAATAGAAGCACCTGAGTTGGCATCAGATATTCTGTTTCCAGTCCTGCTTTTCTTCACTTAATGTCTGTGTGGATTTCAGCAAGTTTCTGTGCCTAAATCAATTAACTCTTGGCAACAATAAAAGTTACCTTAACTTGTGAAGGTTTGATAAGGCAACTAGATATGTAAGTGTGCAGATAGCTGAGCACCTAATGTAAATTGCAAAGGATTTATTTCCAAAATTATAACATCTGCTATAACTTAGAGAAGCTGTTACCTTGGCCCAAATAATTAAATTGTGCCCTGAGTTCTCCCTCTGATACTCTGGCCCTTGGTCCAGATAGACTTGGTTAAGGTATGCAGTTAACCTAATGCAGATTACAACAGTGACCCCAATTCTTCACCCCACCCTGTAACCACACCCTTTACTGTGTGACTTTGAAGTTCTTACTAAAGGGGCAGAGTATATTTCCCCATCCTTTGTCCTTGTGTTTGACCGTGTGACTTGTTTGGCCAACAGAATGAGCCAGAAGTTTCTGAGCCTAGACTGGTAATGGCCTCAGGTGTTTTTGTTGTTCTCTTGCTTCTCTGCCACTCTCTGAGAGGAACATAGCTCAGATATGCCACTGGTCCAGGTATATCCTGAAGAAGATATGTGGGGCAGAGCTGCCTCTGTCAATCAACAGACATGTAGCGAGAAGCAGACCTGCCCCTGCAGCCTGAAGCGGAGCTATGTGGCCAAACTTAGATCAGCCAAATTCTCCGTTGACCTACAGATATGTGAGCAATAATAAATGTTTTACATCACTTTGTTATTCAGTACTGTTGCAGCAATACCTGACCGTTACACTTGGTAATGCAGAAAGGTGTCACTGGGGGAACACTGGTTGCTGAGAAGGCTCATAACGTAGAATTTTTCTTGGTAAAATTGTCTTGGTCCAGGGTCCAACCCTTAGTTTGACAAGCTCAAACCCAGTCTAAGAGACTAATATATTTACCTGTTGAGAAATAGAATCATCAGGTAAACCGATGTTTGCCTTGGCCTGTTGAGCACATACTCTCCCTCTGGGTGAAAGAAGATTTCTCAGCATGGAATCAGAACAAAGGCAATTAGCTATATGGACTGAAAGTTTAGGCTTTGATAGCCTGCTATGTCCGTCTTCACGAGAGAGAGCTATCTGTCTGGCAGTGAAAGACATCACCCTGACAGGGTAACTTTTATTCTTGATAATGCTGAGATGAGATTACTAATTTTGTAACTTTCTAAATTTCCCTTCTCTAAGCCCGATTACCTTCCTTCTGTTCAAGACATTTTTTCTCCAAATAGTGTTGTGGCAGAAACATTTCTTTTAGTGATAGAGTCCTTGAATTCTAACTAGGCAGATGTCTCCGCATCCACCCCCAATAAAGACTATTTCCCAGCCTCCCTTGCAGTTTGGTGTGTCCCTAATGATTAAGTTCTGACCAGTGGATCACTGGCTCTGCTGCTGGCACTGTGAATGGGAGCTGCATCGTACAGAGGTTACGTCCAGGACTTGCAGGTGGAGGCCAGGAGTGAAGTGCACGGTGGTCCTAAATAGAGCTGGAGCCCTGGAGCTGCATGTACAACCCTGAGAAGGTCTGCCAGTTGGACAATGCAGAAGGGACAAAGTCTTAACCTTCTCTTTTCCAATATATACCAAAGGGAATGATCTTTGAAAGTGAGGGAGATTGGCACTGGGATTACGTCCATGTGTATAAGACAAAGGAATGTTGAACCTCAAGATCTTTTTTGATCCACCTCCTAGAGTAATGGAAATAAAAACAAAAATAAACAAATGGGACCTAATGAAACTTCAAAGTTTTGCACAGCAAAGGAAACCATAAATAAGATGAAAAGACAGCCCTCAGAATGGGAGAAAATATTTGCAAACGAATCAACAAAGGATTAATCTCCAAAATATATAAACAGCTCATGCAGCTCAATATTAAAAAAACAAACAACCCAATCCAAAATTAGGCAGAAGACCTAAATAGACATTTCTCCAAAGAAGACATACAGATGGCCAAGAAGCACATGAAAAGCTGCTCAACATCACTAATTATTAGAGAAACACAAATCATAACTACAATGAGGGGTTTCCCTGGTGGCGCAGTGGTTGAGAATCTGCCTGCCAATGCAGGGGACACAGGTTCGAGCCCTGGTCTGGGGGGATCCCACATGCCACAGAGCAACTAGGCCCGTGAGCCACAACTACTGAGCCTGTGCGTCTGGATCTTGTGCTCCGCAACAAGAGACGCCCGCACACTGCGATGAAGAATGGCCCCCGCTTGCTGCAACTAGAGAAAGCCCTCACACAGAAATGAAGACCCAACACAGCCCAAAATAAATAAATATTAAAAACAAACCAACAAAATAAAACTACAATGAGGTATCACCTCACACCAGTTAGAATGGGCATCATCAGAAAATCTACAAACAACAAATGCTGGAGAGGGTGTGGAGAAAAGGGAACCCTCTTGCACTGTGGGTGGGAATGTAAATTGATACACCCACTATGGAGAACAGTATGGAGGTTCCTTAAAAAACTAAAAATAGAATTACCATATGACCCAGCAATCCCACTACTGGGCATATACCCAGAGAAAACCATATTTCAAAAAGACACATGCACCCCAATATTCACTGCAGCACTATTTACAATAGCCAGGTCATGGAAGCAACCTAAATGCCCATCGACAGATGAATGGATAAAGAAGATGTGGTACATATATACAATGGAATATTACTCAGCCATAAAAAGGAACGAAATTGGGTCATCTGTTGAGACGTGGATGGATCTAGAGACTGTCATACAGAGTGAAGTAAGTTAGAAAGAGAAAAACAAATATCGTATATTAACGCATATATGTGGAACCTAGAAAAATGGTACAGATGAACTGGTTTGCAGGGCAGAAACTGAGACACAGATGTAGAGAAAAAATGTATGGACACAAAGCAGGGAAAGTGGAGGGGGGGTGGTGGTGGTGTGATGAATTGGGCGATTGGCATTGACATGTATACACTGATGTGTATAAAACGTATGACTAATAAGAACCTGCTGTATAAGAAATAAATAAATAAATAAGACAAAGGAATGTTGAGCCAGCTAGTCACAGAACTAGAAGCAATTCACTTCTGACTTTAGACATGTTCCAGAAACTGAGTAAACCAAATTTTGGGAAATGGATTTTTTTTTTTTTTACTGCAAGAAGACTTTAAAATTTTCAGGACTGCCCTTTCATCTCTATTTCCTTATTAATTGTTTTTACTGGTGGTCTACAAGTTGAAGCACATAAAGCCCCTGTTTCTTGTTTATCTGATATTCATAACATAGATCAAATATAGCAATTTTGGAAATACCCTTCAAATGAAAACAAGATAAATAGGAGTTTGTGAATGTATAAGATGAGAGAGACGATTACTGTGTGGTACCAAATACAGTGATATTCACTAAGTAAAATAGACACAAGTATTCAATAACTGGTAAAATTCCTAGAAGTGTTGCATATTTAACTTTTATTTCTTTGTCTAATTTAACTGATTCCAATGATCCTGATGTA